TWRATGRTRAGTCTTGTCACTTTCCCTTCCCTTCATGTACATGTACTGACTTGTATCCTCTACCAGCTCTGCAGAGGAAATACACCCATTTCCTAACCCACCTCACCAATCTCTCCCTACTGGAAGTCTACACCCTCAAACCTCTCCTCGACGGCAAAACCCTCGCCAAAGCAATCGGTACCCCTCCCGGACCATGGATGAAAGATGCCTTGGATGTGGTCATGGCCTGGCAACTCCGTCACCCAGAAACCACGGATCCAGCACAAGCTGTTGAGGAAGTTCAGAGCCATCAGAAGAAGCATGCTGGGAATGGTGAGCTTACATTCGACCTCATCCGCCACTTCCTCTCGCTGACGATACGTCCTTTGTTCCTCAAGGCCGGTAGTAGCAGTCATCCTAGCGTTACGGCCCAAGGAAGGAAAGTCCAAGGGAAGGCGCTGCCGAGGAAAATTGGGGTGCAGGCTATGGAGACCCCGGGTTGGAAAGGTGGGAAGGAGGCGTATGTGTTTGATGTGCTAAGGTGGGTTGTGGGGAGGTTGAGAAGGGAGAGAGTTGGGGAGGTTTGGCCGCTCATTGTCCCGCCACTGCTCACTCTGGTGGATGATTGGGAGGTGCAGTATAAGATTCTGGGAGCGGAGTTCTTGATGGGGTTGTTGGAGGTTGTGGAGCCGGAGTTGTTGGCGAGGACTGGATTGGGGGAGGTTTTTGAAGAGGCTTTTATGGGTTGTTTGGGGTATCTCCCTCCCACCAGTCCTGAGGATGAGGCGGTGAGGTTGTTGGGGAGGGTATTCCCTGCGCTGATTGTGCTGGGACGGGTGCGATTTGACGAGAACATGCCGATGAAGGCCACGCCGGAAGAGAATCGACGGCTTAGGATGAAGTTCCTGGATAAGGTGCTTCGCGAGGGGATCATCTATGGGATTTCGCATTGCGGCAATCATCCCGCGGTCCTGATCCTCTTGTTCGAGCAACTGGCGGTGTTGCTTGATGAGCTGGGAATCGAGTCGGTCAAGCATATTCAATATGTCTTGCCGCTTCTGACTGAGATTTTGAGTCATCCGCTCGGCACGGGGAATTTGGTGATGCTGAGACGGGCTACGCAAGCTTTGCAGGCGTTGATTCGGAATTGCTGGCCGAGGATGGGAGGGTACCGAGGAGAGGTCTTGAAGGGTCTTACGATTTGCTGGTTGAATGTCCAGGATGACGGTGGTGCTGCGGCGGAGGAGCTTCGAGGGGAGCTTCGGGATACGGTGGGACTTCTTCGAGAGGCTGTCAAGGAGGAGTATGATCTTCAGGCTGATTGTGAGGTGTTGATCCAAGCGGATCGGAGGTTGGAGGGACTATTTTCCACTCTCGTCTAGTAGAGTAAGAGTAGATGAGATGGATGTGTTCTATTTCAGCCATTCATGTGAGGTTCTGAAAGTTGATCCAAGAGCTCAAAGGCGCGGGAATTGGGGATTGAGCATTCCCTTCCATCTGCTGCGCAACCCATTTGTGCTTCTAATTCTTTGCCCATGTAGGGTCGCACGGTACGGATGACGGAGGCGATGTCGTAGCAGGACGTAGAACTGGAGTTGTATTGTTGTGGTTGTGGTTGTGATTGTTGTTGGAATGTGGGCTGTTCTTCGTTGGGAAAAGGTGATGAAGAGGAGGTTGAAGCTAGTGATGAGTATGCGTCCCATTGTTGATCCTGAAGATGTTGAGATTGAGATTGAGTGGCACGGCTTGCGAGCGGAGGCGCACTGACTCCTCTATCATTGTTTTGGCCGCATGGCTTCCTCACATTGAGCGCTGTTTCTAGAAAAGCCGCCGAGGAGGATTGCTGTTGTTGAGGATATGGAAGTTCGGGATCGGTGATTCCATGTTGTTGGAGAAGAAGGCGGAGGCGTTTATTCTCTTCTGCTACTGCTCGGGCTGCGGATTGGATTTCCGAGGAGGCTTCTGCGCCTGTTCGTTCGCAGATTCGATATTTGGATTCGAGTTCTTGGAGGTATTCTTTCCTGCGGGCTCGGGAACGGCGYTGGTTGTCTCGGATTCGGGCTAGGTCTGGAGGTTTGGTGTCGGTCATTTTAGGAGGGAGATGGCGAAGTGCAGTATTGGCCCGGATGTGGGATGGATTCCAGGAACGGCCTTTCAATGGGATACAGTGCCAATAGGAGAATTGGTGGTCGTAATTTGGATATGCCTTTCAGTTGAGTTGCAACAGTTCTGGACTGATGGTTTTTCTCCCCGCGAGTTTCTTGCACAATACAGAGAGGAAAGACGGAAATGACAAATCAGATGGAGTGGATTGGACCTCGGAGATGTTGGCCTTTTTGGTGTGATGTGGCGAGTGGGAATGGAGAATCTCGTATGTAAGACGTCTGGTATGCTTGATGGTGTCTGTACGACTTCCCCACAACGAATTCTGGAGAAAAGGATAAGAAGCAGAGGGCAAAGTGCAGATGGCATTGAGTCTAGAAGATCGATCCCATGTCATCGCCAAGCCCGTCGATCGCGCGTGGAGACGAGATGGCGCTAGCAAAAACGCGCTCCCGACTTCACGCGTGCCGGGCTGGGATGTTTACGGCAAGGTCCACGGGTGCTTTTGTTCGGGGTGCATTCGTATCACAGTCTTCTTGTGTGTTGTTCATCAAGTGTGTACAGCTCCACGTTATTATCGTCAACATGGCGTTTGGTAGATCCAACTCCCTGTCCCTCAACACGGGCGCCACCAATTCCCTCTTGTATGTATCGCGCAGCACCCCCCTCTCCGCTGGTCTCCATGGAATTTTTTCCGCTGCCGACCTTGACCCTGTCAATGAAAGCATGGGAGCGGATTGGAAGGTGTCGCTACCTTAGCTCCGACTCGTACCGCGCTGCGAGCTCCGGTTGCATCTGATCGGATCTGACGTTTGCTCTTCTTTTGTAGTGCTTCACAGAACAACAACACCACCACCAACAACAACCCCTCCAACATGAACTCGTCACAGCAGCCCGCCAGTAACCCATTTGGTAGTTCCAGCAACACCACCGGCGGCCTCTTTGGTCTGGGCGGCGGCGGAATGGGCTCCATGGCCGCCAACTCCAACACCAACATGTTCGCGCAATCGGCCAATAACAACAACAATGCATCGACCGCCAACAACAATGCAAGCAGCTTATTCGGTGGCGCGAGCATGCAGAACAACTCTGCCGCTCAACCCTCAGCGCCCTCCCTCCTCGGCGCGACCCAGCACAATCGAACATCCACCGCCACGGCCACACCCTTTGGCCGCCTCAGCATGGGCCAGCCTTCCGCCTCCACAACCAACAACAACACCGTCGGTGCGGCTAAAATCGATCTCGATGGCCTTCGTCCTACCACCCGCTTCGAGGACTGCGTGGATCAGGTCCGGCAAGAGATGGAAACCATAGACAAGATGATTCAAGAGCAGGAAAAATACGCCAAAGAAATTGAAGCGTTCCTCCCCAAACACGCCGACGATGTCGCCTCCCTCGCTCCTGATGTCCTCTTCATTGCCGACAAGGCGGATGATGTCGAGCAAGCACTCGCGAGTGATGCTCAAGGTGTCGATGCACAGCGCAAAAACGCCGAGAAGGATCGCAAAGATTTGGAGCGCTGTACACGAATTGTAACCAACCTCTCCCTTCCACAAGGATATCAATACTCGGGCATGAACTCTACATATGGCAGCATGTACGGCCAACAACGACCTCAGCAACCTCCAAACACGACCAATGTGAGCAACCGAGAAGACTCCACAAACTACGATACAGATCTGATCGGGAATTACTTTGTCCCTCTGGCCGCCGAGTTGCAAAAGACCATGGATGCGTATGCGAGCAATCTGTCCGAGATTGAAAGCCATATGCGGGTGATTGAGAGTTCGGCAGTCGCGCAGGCACAGCAATTGGCGCAGAAAAAGGCCGGAGTGGGCGGTCAGCAGAGTGGCGGAGACGCTACGGTAAGGGAACTTGCGGATACGTTGAGAGGATTTGAGGACAGTATTCTCGGGGTTGCGAGTGTGGTGGGAGAGTGTAGGGATGGGGTCAATGAGCTCGCGTTGGGGAGATTGCGCGCTTGATGGGCATGAATGCAAGGAAAGCTGCTGATGCATCAGGGGATCGAAATGACTTTAGCGATGGCGTTGTGTCTTTTGACTGCTGCATGTTGCGAGGTCTCAAACAGCGGATTGACCGATCACAATATGTTCCGTCTATTCATTTGCATTGCATTGTATGGTCTATTGTACAATACCGAAGACCTACATCCATCCACCACGCCCGCATATCCCTACTCCCATCAAACATGATCAAATCCTCACACCTTTGTCGTCACCGTCTTCTTCTTCCAAGAATCACTCTCCACGCCCCCAAGCGCCAACAAACTCTTCTCCGGCCCCGCCTCCCCAACCAACAACTCCATCTCGGGATCCCCCTTCTCCATAGCCCTCCGATACGCAGGTCTCGTACTAACATCTCCCAACCACCGCACAATATTCTTAAACCCCACCAAACTCACCGCATTCCWATATCTGCCCGTGGAGAGGGAATACATGGCCATGATATCCGCCGCCGTGAAATCCTCTCCCGCCAACCACTTCGCTTGTCCCAATCTCTCATCCACGAGTTGGAGAGCGCTGCGTACGGAGACCGCGGAGAATCCCACCAGGAAGCTATCCGAGGGAAGACCCGATATCCCTATCATCATTGCTGTGCTGAGGGTTGGTTGGAGACTTCCTGCTATGTAGGCGAACCAATAGGTGTATTCTACGAATCCTTTGTCGTGGAGTTTTTTGGAGAGGCGGCCTCCTCCGTATGTCTCGATGATGTAGGTGATGATTGCTGCACTTTCGCTTAGAGTTACAGGGGGATTTACGCCGTCTTTGTCGTCTACGATGAAGGGGGATTTTCCTGTTGAGTTTCCCGGGAGGGATTTGAGGGATTCGGGGGATGTTAGAGGGGAGCGGGTATGGTGGACGAGGGTGTATGAGAGGCCGAGTTCTTCGCAGAGGAAGAGGATGCGTTCGGATTGGGAGATTCCCAGGTGGTGGATTGTGAGGGTCATTTTTCTTGCTTGCTTGCTTGCTTGCTGGATGGATGTTGAGATATGGTGTAGAAGTAGTTTGGTTTCGGATGTTTTGTTGGGATGGGAATATGTCACTATGTCTTTGTATGATCTCTTGTCTACTTACCCCTCCTCCATACGGGCGTACGTACGAGGAACTACTCTCATTGCCGTGCCCCTCTCCCGGCATATCGACAGGAGTGACGTGTGGTGTGRGATTGGTTAAACTCAATTGGGTACTAGATGTGCTTGATGATTAACAGCTAGTGATGCTTCAGGTTAGGGTGCTGTGGATGGAAAAGTGCAGGTCAGGATGATGATGTTCATGTTGTTGTGTCATTTCATATACCATACACAATGCTGCCCCCACGTAAAAAGATAAAGTACAAAAACGCGACGCTGGACCACAAGTGTCTCAGCAGACGAGGAGAATAGCTAGATGGAACACTCCCAAACCACCAAGGACCATCCAGATCATGAAGAAGAGCGTCTGAAGTGGGTGACTTCTACAGGAAGATTGGGATGCATGCGAGAGCGATGTTGAGGTTTCCCTGGCAAAAGGTTGTTAGCAATGGATCTCCCATTCCACGAGGGAGTTGAAGAACTTACCTCCTGGTTGATTGGACAGCAAAAGGTGTTCCCTTGGTTGCACTGGCCGCCGCTGAGCCCACCAGCGGCGAGGATGGGAATGTTGAGGTTGCTCAAAGCGCAACTGCCACCGAGGACGTTGCTGAGGATGTCGCCGCTGGAGCCCTTGGTGTCGCAGCAAGATGCCGCGGTACCCTCGGAGCAAGACTCCACGATGGCGGAGTCTTCACTTGCCTCGATGTTCTTGGGTGGCTCAACAAAGTGCGTGGGAGTGGTGGTGGTGAGGGTGCGGGTGATGAAGACCGGGACCGGAGAGGGTTTCTCGGCGTAGTAGACGGTGTCGTCGTATGGGCCGGGCTTGAGGACCTGCTTCAAGCCCAAGGGACCGAGACTGTCGAGGAAGGCGAATTTCTTGTCGTTTTCGGCAGAACCAGCGAGACTCTTGCTTCCCACGAGTTCGTCGGTGAGGCCTCCAGCGGCGGAAGCGTTGGAGTCGTCGCCGGCAGAACCGGTGAGACCGCTGCTTCCAACGAGGTCGTCGGTGAGACCTGCAGCGGACACGGCAGCGGCGCCGGCCAAGATGGTGAGAAGGGTGTAGTACTGCATGGTGGTGGTGTTTGTTGTTGTTGTTGTTGTTGTTGTTGTTGCTGTTGTACTGTTGTATGGATTATGGTGTTACTGTTGTTGATTAAACGAGTGACTGTAGAATTACTGTAGTGAAGGAGTGTGTAGAATGAATGGCTTGAATGGAATGGAATGGAATGAGATGAGATGAGATGAGATGAAAGAGGAGAGGAACGTTCGAACACATGCCTACTATAAAGCCCTGCGAAGTCCCCTCGGAGACGCGGGACATGTGTGTTCGTGGTTCACGAGATTAGGGAAACGTTTGGGTACCGTGGGCAGCCCCGACGGTCTTGATATGGCGTATCTCGCGTGTCTTTGCATGCTTTCTTTGCGTGGTATGGGATCTGGGAGCGAAGAGGCAAAGTTCCCGGGTTTTGAGGATGATTCTCTTGCTGCTGCTGTCGTCGGGATCATGCTCCATGGCGACCTTTTCGAAGCTCTTTCGACTATCGTTGGTATATTTTCTTGCTGTGATATCATCATCCGATGCGCCTTGTTGCAGAGGTTGTTAGTTGAAGGCGGTGCAGTTGGTTCAGTCGCGGGGAGCAGCAACGGGGGCCGGGGCTCATCAAACGACCGACCAGACCCAATTTCTTCGAATTTCTTCCCGACGCCGCGCCTCAATCCCCATATATTAATAACACATCACCATTACAGCGGCACCTGAGAAGCCGCTCTCGTCGAAGTTCGGCGGCGATGTATCATGAAAGGCGGTCGGTAAGGTACCTTAGGGGCTGGAATTCTCCTTTTCCGACATCATTCCACTTCTCCTTCATACCTCTCAACATCATCACGTGTTCTTCTATTCTACCAGTTGCATCTCGACAATCTTGCAGATTACATGTCAAGCATCTTTCTCCACGGCTTCTCTTCAATTCGAGCATACACGGCAGAGATTTCGACAACCTCTTGTATACGATTCTAAGGACGCCGCTTCCACAGTCACCACTGGTCACTAAGTTACTTTCCTCCTTCCAATGCTCGATGATCGGCGTCATAGGTGGATTCCAACACAGAACCATGGAAGACGAATTCGATGGCGTCCGTGGTCTTTCCGCAGTAAATGTACAGCTACGGAAGCTATGAGCAGGAGAGAGCCTCACCAGATCGCCATGCCTCAACAACGTAGAATTCGTTTCTTGCCTTTTCCCTTGCATCAATCTTGTGCCTCGGAGCAGATGGATGTATGAGGGTCACATCTTTCAGAGACGGAAATAGCAGAGTGCCTTGTCGTCGCAAGAGCATGCCGTATTCAAGTGCACGGGACCATGGAGTCATGGCTTCCAGGCCGTGTATGAAAACTCTGATCATCATCATCATCATCAGAAGAACGCCACAGCAATCATCCAAACAGCCGCCAAGAATCCCACCCTCTGACCCATACCCACAGAGATAAAAGCACCCATCGTGGTCCCACCACTGCTGACGGGCGCCGCCGTAGACGTAGCCATCCCACCTCCCTTCGTAGCAGCAGCAGCAGCGACTTCCTCCACCCGGCCTGTCACGAGGACCGCAACACTCTGGATCTGCCCTCCCGCATACGTATTGACCACATCATACTGAAAGCCCTCAATGGAAGAGGATTCCTCGCAAAACACCATCGACGCCGCAGATTGGGTGCCGCAGTTCTGGGTGATGACAATGGGGTAGTCGACGAGGAACGGGTTGGCGTGTAGCGCTTTCCAGTAGATGTTGGGGCCGGTGAGGAGGGTGGTGAAGAAGGTATCGCGGAGGGAGTTGAAGTTTGCGGGGAAGAGGGAGAGGGTGGTGGTTCCATTGCCGATCCCGATTAGGGAGGCGGATTGGGAAGTTACGGGGCCGAAGTCGGAGGCGTCGGCGGAGTTGATGTAGAAGGGGACGGTGAGGGTTGCTGTCGTTGTTGGGTGAGGGTCGGAGGTTGTCGTGTGGGTGTTGATGTTGGTTCGAGGTTCGGAGGTTCTCGAGTGGGTGTTGGTTGGAGCTTGCAAGGCCGTGGTATCGGTGAGGATCTTAGGCTCGGAGGTTGTGGTGACTTGAGCTTGAGCTTGGGTGAGGTGGGAGATGGTGGCGAGAAGCAGTAATGCCAAGGTGAGGATAATGTGCGGCATGCTGTGCAGAATGTCAATGTCTGTATTTGTGGACGTGGGGATGAAGTGATGAGGTGGTGTGGTTGTGTGGTGGTGTGGTGCGCAGGATGAAGCCGAATCTCAGTGAGGAGGTTGAAGGAAGAATCTTGGCGGAGACGGAGACGGGGCGCTTGCGTGGCATGGCAATTTCTCGACGGCGGAGGGAGAGACCTAGCAGACGTATGCCAGCTTCGATGGACGCTCTTCCTCTCTCCATCACTGTACCTGGGAATGCAGCCCGCTTGCGAGGGAAGAGGAATGGATGGAATCTTGCAGAGATACTACAACGGGTATGGAGGTGGGAGCACATGAGACGTGGAAGGAGACTGCACTTCAACATACCGTACACACCGTGCAAACCTTACATTGTCTGACTCGATTGAAATGCTCGACGGACTTACTGCCAGTGACAAGACCCGACAGCTTCCACCATCCTCCGTGTATGTCACCGCGAGTTGGACGGAAGAATGTCGAGACAGCATCATGACAGCTACTCCCTGCAGTCAGTGTAATGCTGCACTGCACATCGTATCTCTCCCCTCCACATCGCCTTGTAACGGACGCCTGTCTGTTTTCCATTCCTCTCAAGCCGCCGGTTTCTGGAACGTGACCTTGATGGTCGCATCCCCCAGCACGCTGCCATTCATTCCCTCCCTCGCCACAGCAGCCGCATTCTCGTCCTCGTAGTCCGCAAAACCCATGTTTCGTCCGGGCACCGGACGGAACTGCACGAAGCCAGGGAACTGGGCGAACGCTGCCGAAGTCTGCTGCGGCGTGAAATCCTTGGGCAAGTCCCGCAACACCAACATCTTATTCGGTGGGAGGTTCTCGTCCAGCATGGCAGCGGCAGCGCGGTTGGTCTTGGGAGGTCGTTCGGAGTCATTGGTGGAGTTGGCGTTGCCGGCGGCGGCGGCGGCGGCGGAGCGTTGGGCGGATTGTTTGAGGGCCTCTTCTTCTTTCTGGAGGGCCTGTCGGCGTTCTATTCATCATCAGTACCGTCATCCACATCTTCACATCCACCAGAATATCGGGACGTGCTCACCCTTCAAAGCCAATCTCTCCTTCTTGTGCCTCTCCAACGCCTCCTCCCCACCTTCGCGCCTCACGACGGCATCACTCTTGCTCTTGGCAAACTGCACCACCAATTTCCTGCCGAACAATTCGGCACCTTGCAGAAACTCCATGGCATCTTCGGCATCGTCGACGGACGTGAAGACGACGAACGCCTGACCGCGCGCACGGAGATTCTTCTTGGCGACAATCTCTTCAATCTCGCCCAGCTCGGAGCAGATGTTCCGGATGCCTTCGATCAGCGCGGGGATTTTGATGGATTCGTCAATGTTGCGGAGGTACAAGCTGCAAGGACGACATGCGTGTTAGTTAGTGAGGGGATGTCCAGTGCGCGGTTCGTACGGATGTGCAATGTACGAACGTTGCGTTGGGTGGATTGGAGGCCATGACGATTGGGCACGAATTATGCAGATGTTGTTGTTGTCTTGGTGGTGATTGTCGAAGAAGTGATGGATCGCGGATGGCCGAGCTGAGGTCGGCGATCAATGAATGTTCTGCCTTGATCCTCAGGCAGAGAATGCCATGTGGAGAACAAGCTTTCACTTTCCCTTCCGTTCCCGGCAACCCAAGCTTCCGGAGCAAGCGCGTGTCAGTCGCGAGAAGCTCATCTCATCTCCACTGCAAACAAGACCAAGAGGCATGTAACCTAGGCTCTCATCACTTTCACTCTTTCTTTCTTACACACTCCTTGAATATCCAGCCCAGCAACCTCTTTCAATCCCCATCAATCCCCTTCAAACCCCTTCCAAATGCCCATCAAAACATTCCTTCTATCAGCAGCAACAAGCCTCCTCGTATCCACCACCACCACCACCCTCGCTCAAAATGTCACAACAACAACCACCCTGACCCTCCCCCTCTACGGCCTCGACCCCACCCAATCCCTCGCCGCCTCCGTAATCGCCGCTTCCCCCAATGCCACCACCCTCTACATCAACTGTCTCGAATCTCCCTCGGACCCTCTAGCCTGCGTGGGATTCGCGTACTCGAGAACTCTGATCACGGGACCCGAGACTTATCGCTTGGAAGTTTCCGAGGCGGATTTGACTTCTACGCAGGATTGTTCTTCTGGGAAGGAAATGGGAATGGCAAAGACAGGTGTTGTGTGTGAGGAGTACATGACGAGTGGGGAAGCTGTGAATTATCAGGGCGTCGCGACGTATCCTTTAGATGGGGTCACGGCTTTTGAGGTTGCTGTTACTGCTGGGGTGGGCAAACTGATGGAGGCGGAAGAGACGGGTGGTGCTACTGCTACACCCTCCTCCTCCTCCTCCTCTTCTCCTGGTGTGACTGCTACGATGACGGGCGATGCGCCGAGTGGGAGCATGACTGGTGCTGCGGCCGCCAGAGGTGTGGGGAAAGAGATGGCGCTTCTGGCTGTTGTTTGTGGAATGGGGAGCTTGTGGCTTTGAAGTGGAGATGCAGCTACCTGTCGACGTATACCATCGCTACAAGTCATGCGATTACCGGCCGAGAGTGATCTGGAGACTATGCGGCTTGAGTGAGAAGATGTTGGGTTGGACCCAAGTTTGCCTTCTTTGTGATGTTGCATACAACCTACTGCATCACTCTTGCAGCGGAGTCTACGATGCTGACATTCGGGAATAGATGTTGAGTGAGGGACGAGGGAGTCATATGCAGAGTCCAATTATCCGGCCATCTCGCAGAGTGTGCTCGTTGAAAGAAGCAAAGAAAGAAACCAGGAAGTTTAGATCTCCTCTGCTTCCTTCATAGGGACTGCTAATTTTCTCTCTTCCGGTTTTCACAATGGAAATGCAGTCCGAGCAATTAGGGTCTGTAAGGTACTATGAATTCCAGCCAAGTTGAACGGAGAGTTGTTATTGCTGCGGTGYTCGTGAGAAGCTTTCTAGCTACTGGACGGGTAGAGCATGGAGGATGGTATTACTTTGTTCCATCTCCCGTCAACTGAGCCCGACAAGATGTAGAGTGGGACAATGTGATGTGTGTGGTTCGAAATGATGTCCATCTAGATTTGATAAAAGGGGCAGAATTGGCTTGTTCTGAGCGGTACTACCTACCCAAAGATTATCTGTCGCTCCATCCTATGTACTCACCTATGCTGTACGCAGGTATCATCTTTTATATAATCGACATCTTGGGATTGGTATTATCCAAGGACACATGTAGATGTGAAAGTGCTAGTCGAGCGATGGAAGGAATTTCGAGAAAGAGTAGGCGGAGAAGAAGTAGGTGTTTGGCGAGAAGAGCAGTGCCTTGGTTGGGTGTGCTATAGGCATGTATGAGGTATACGTCAATCATCGTCAATGCTAGTGATTTTACATCTAGTCCACGGTGTGACTTGCTACATGCGCTCAAGGTTCAGGGGAAGCCCTCTTGATGAAGCCGATTCTCGGCGAGCTTGTTGTATGTGGGTATGAGGAGGCTGTTTAAGGGGGCCAAAGGAGTCTTCTGAGGGGGTTTGGGCTTGGGAGTGTGCTATTGTTGGAACTGTATCTACGGGGAGTTGAGGGTAGTAAGCGGGGGCCGGAGGGATTATATACGATGAAGAGGTGGAGAGCTGAGGTGTGTCTTTTCTATTTCTCTTTCGAGCTGATGTGCACGTCTTATGTGTGCCATCTTGGAGCGAAAGGTGTTGAGTAGTTCACAGAGGAGGAGATCCGTGTCATGCATTTTGGATTGGGTGCTCGTTTGCTTCAAGTCAAATTGGTGTAGCGATGTTGAACAGCCGTCCAACTCAGATACAGAAATACCGAACACATATTCGTTGAGGCTGTGGCACTATGTAGCATTAAGGACTTTCGATCGAGGCTCGCGTGATAAAACATCAAAGCTACGCTTGTCCCTATGCCTCGGGGAAAGGGAACGGGAATGTGTTAGCTTACGCCAGGGAGTTCCATGTTATGAAACATGAATACTTGGAGTGTAAACAGTTGATGAGTTGCTTGTAATCTGTTGACTGACTGGACGTTCATACACACACAGTCTGTCATTTGCTCGGGCGCTCTCTAGATGACCTGATCGCCCATCTACAAGTAGGTGAATGTTCTCGGAATTTCCACAAGGTCACACCTAGTGTGGTATCAGTAGTGAGTTCCAATTCCACAGGTACTGGCTCAACATTGTTGGGCTTATACCCCCGAACGTCATCTTTACAGGCCGAGCGGACGTTGGCGATTGCTGATATCGCATCGGGCACGTATGTATACCGAAAAGACAGCATGAAGGACGTTTTGACGGAGCCTGTGGCGCTGATGTCCGCTGATACTTGGAGATCTTGGCTTGATTTCAATGAGACGTACCCATGTCGTGAGAGCCTGAGTGAGGATCTATGCTCATCAGATCCATCAGTGCGACTACTTCGATCAATTCAACGGTAATATCGGCATCAGATCTCAATGGAGGCTTAGGATAATCAGATCCAGGAGGAATCTCGTCAATCGACAGGTACATGTGTCTTCATCCTTCTCCTCCACTTCAATGTCTTGACATGTATCGCCTCATCAGTCTGAGCGTGTTTCAAGAAACGTGAGATTCATTCAAGTGCAATTGTGTAAAGTGTACGATGCAGAATGACTTCAAACATTTCCCTACATGAGTTCATTCAAGGGGTACCAAGCCATAATGTCATGTCATCTCATTGCTTGTTACGTACGACTCATCGGAAAGGAATGTACCGAAAAGTCTCTGCGCCATGAATCCCTAACAAGTTCGAGCCACAGAGAAAGCTGACGACTCCTCTGGTTAATTCGTTGCCTTGAATGTCTTCGACAAGAAGGTAAAGGAAATCACCTTCCGAGATCACGTTTCCTTGTCCTTCACCTGACCTCACCCGGACTAGGCACGATGTGTTACCCATGTCTAGCCACATACACTTCATACCCCCCTCCATACCATCTTACACCTTCTTCTTACTATACAGCGTATAGCCAAAATTATCAAGAAGCAGCGCGCTCAACGTAGCTTTCACAGAACCAGCCACATCGTTATCGTTGTAGAGTAGCATTTCCAATCTCTCCAGCCCCCTCAATTCATCTTTGTCGAAGGTGGCCTTTTCCATGTCCTGTGTCTCTCCAGATCCCCGCTTGAAAGTCCTAGTCGTCCCGAAGACCTTTTCAGAGCCAGGCTTATAGCCCTTGAAAACCACCGAGCAGCTATCGGTCACGCTGATTCCGGGGGTGTTTGCGGCCGTTTCGAACACACAGGCGAAATAGAAGGAATCAATGTCGAAGGTGTCGTATCCGGGAAGAGGGGTAAGGATTGCTGGACCATCGAGTCCTTTGGCTCCAGTGCCGAGACCATAGGCTGCCACATGGGTTCCAGATTGAGGTTTGACTCCAATTATGGGATCTGTTTCTCCTCCTCCGTAGATGAAGCCCTGCCAGTTCAGGCCGGCTTTCTTGCCTATCTTGTTCAATTCGGGGAATAGAAATGAGAATATGTTGGGCTCGGGGCCATCTTCAAAGTCTAGGAGTTTGTGGGTGGCGATTGGTTTGGGAGCTGCAACGGCCAATTCAGATGCAGGACTGGCTACTGGAGTCCCGAGGGTCAGATGAGCCAGGGAGAAGAGGAGTATGAGCGCTGCAGAGTGCATTTTCTTTATCGATAGGGATCGATTGTGGGGGTTTTTTTTTCTGGATGAGGGAGATGATGTGAATCTGCAAGATAGGATCGACGTGTATACATGTTAGCCCGAATTGCTACTCTCCCCCCGCAGAGTAGTAGCATCCTCTCACGTAGTGGATCATTACGCCTTGATCGTTATTGCCAATTCCAGCCATCTTGCGGTGTGAATCTTGTCTAGGCAGGTGCCACAAGGCAGCATGTTGTATGATATGTCCAAGTATTGCAGTGGACTTTCGGCAACAAGAGGCACGATGCGCCATTGACGCCAAGTTCGAGCTTAGGACTCAGCCAAATCCGAGGTACAGTGAAGTAGGGGATATGCTGTGTCCCCGAATACTCCCATCTCGCTTCTGTACACTGCGGTAGAAGGAGCGGCTGACTTCGTGACAGTACGGCTTGGAAGATCTCCATGGTCTGTGCGAGCAGATTGTTTGCGGCGTACTGCCAATTGGATTCTCCCGATCATGTTGGTGGCTGGTAGCTAGCCGCACAGGAGCTGCGCTGCAATGCCCCCGAAGGGAAGAAGCTTCTCACGTGGCGTATTGATGTTGCCAATCACTTCATATGCAGAGCAGCCCATCAGCAAGATCAATGTTGCCGTGAGGTCTTAGCCCACTTCGAGTCGCTACGAACAAATGTTGACCAGGAGTCATGCTCGTCAACGAATTGCATATCCCGATGGCATTTGCAACGGCACGAAATCGAACTGAAACATGCCCACCATCCTTCATTCTCTGGAAAGTAGACCTTGGACGATGATCGTTCGTGCGAGTTGACTTGTTGCAACGCGGCGGGTTCTGTGGCTTGCTTGCTTACCACAAGGCGTTTCAGGGGCGGGCTCCTTGGCATTCCAGGTCGATTCTCGCATGACTGACGATTGGTTGCGATGGCCAGGAGTGAGCGATTGAACTGAGACCACAGCCTACTGTGCGGCAAGCAAGAGGTCCTCCCAAGTCTTCCCCATGGGGTGAAATTTGTCGGACCCGTAGCTCAAACAAGACCAATCTCATCGCTTGTCCTTTCATGACGTTAGTTCAAGCAATTGCCAATCGTCGATCAAGCTTGTGTCCCATACGCATGGCTTGAAGTCTGTGCGAGCTGCAGTCCAGAGGTTCCGAGATTTTCGAGGCTTGATCGATCGTTACTACATTGATCAACATACGCCAGGATAGACTGCAGCAGAAACGAGCAGCACTTCCTCAGTCTTCGTTGCAGTCAGCGGCCAAGGTCTGCTGTTGCCTCACTTTGCAAAAGGGGACGATTGTGGAACTCGTCTATGTCGTCGGGCCGGCTGATCTTTCGACGTGACTGATAGATAGTTGCTGGGTACTTCCAAGACATTCCACGATTGTTTTTATGCCGTTCTAAGTCAGAGAATCCTGTAATCTTTCCAGAAGGAGTGAGTTGCTGCCAAGGACATCGTAATCGCATGAGAAAGTCTTCTGGTGAACACCATCCAAAGCCGTAGATTGCTTCGGTGGCTCAGCGGCTCACAAGATGTAGCTCCCGAGGATCGGTCTCCTTGGACAGGTCTCAGTGGCGATAGCTGGCCTCCTCCGTATACTCACTCCATCTGATCAACTGGCTGATCGATGTCTGTGCAAGCCAAGAATCTGATGGCATCAGGCGGTGGCTTGCTCGTAGTGCACATGGCGTCCAGGAACCCGGCTGGCTCCCCGAGTAGTGGCTTTCGATCTCATCATGAGTGATGAAGCACCGTAGATATGAGTAGTCGAACTTGTACCCTCAAACATCCATCTTCCGAGCTTACGAAAAGACTGCTTTTCTGACCATCAATAGCACCCAACGTCTCTCAGCTCTCGACTAGACGGCTCTTGCATCTGAAAAGCCAACTAACTACACTGATTAAGGAAGTCAATACACGTCGGCTCGCCACCTTTGATGACCTGGGATTCATTGATATTACTTCATCGAGTGAAATGTACTCCAGAAACGGCACCAAACCATGACCTTCCTCGAACTTCAGAGAAGGGATTAATGCCTGCCTTCCTTGACGATCCAAGACTTGAGAAGGACAGAGTGGGACGCTTCAACGTGTGCGAATCAAAGATGCGAATGGACATGGAAGACATGGAAGATGTGTTAACAGGCAGAGCTTGGCGGTGCACATTTGTGGAAAATGGACAGCTCCAACAAGAAAGACTTCTTTTGATGATATTTCTGGCTGATGTTTATGATGAAGTCGCATCGGACAATCGATTGGACGACGCAAGAAGCTTTTCTTGTAAAATTGCAAGCTTCGTCGTCATCACATTGGCAAATCAAGATGATCCTTGTATGTCGATCTCGCTCTTCATTCGCTCGGGGTCGACTCCTCCGGACTCCGAATTCAAACGGCTAGCACATCCTTACTGGTTCGTACCTGACGTAAGGTTATGGATACCCTCAGCCTTCATCTTCATTTCCAAGGCATGGCCGCTAGTCGTGACTTGTGTCTTTGTTCACTTCTTCTTCTTCTCCTTCTCCTTCTCCTCCCCCTTCACCACACACCACCCCGCCATGTCTCTCCAAGCCCTCTCCGTACTGGCCCTCCCAGCTCTGTCACTCGCATTGAGCCAGCAGCAACCACTCTACTCGGAATATTCCTTCAATCCTCTCGAACATCTGGCTGGAATCACGCCATACTTTGAGCCAGCAGATCCCCCAAAAAAGGATCCATCAACACCACAGGGATGCTCAGTCGAGCGAGCAGCATATCTTGTTCGGCACGCTGCCATTAATGCTAACGATTTCGACTACGAGAGCTATCTGGAACCTTTCACCGACAAGCTCAAGAACACGACGGTGGACTGGAGCAAGATCCCCGAACTCTCTTTCCTCGCAACATGGACTCCTCCCGTCCTCAAGGAGCAGGAACGTGTGACTCGTACTGGTAAACTGGAAGCAACACAACTTGGTGTTCAGCTTTCCTACCGCTATCCCCACCTCAACCTACCCAAGCGTGTGTGGACCAGCACCGCCGAGCGTACGGTTGTCAGCGCGGAAGCACTCATCCGCGGGTTCGAGGAGGAGGAAGACAACGAGATTAAGCTTGTCCAGATCTACGAAGGCAAGGAATCTGCCGCGGACAGTCTCACCCCTTACAAAGCGTGCCCGGCTTACTCTTCTTCCTTTGGTTCCGATCAGAGCTCCGAATGGGTTAAGAAATACACTGCTCCCATTCTTGCCCGCTTCCGAAGTCTCGCACCGGCTTTCAACTGGACTTCTGACGATGTGACGGGCATGTTCGAATGGTGCGGTTATGATACTGTTGTGCGTGGCAAATCTCCATTCTGCTCATTGTCTCTCTTCAGCCCGGACGAGTGGCTACAGTTTGAGTACTCCGAGGACATTAGATATCATTACAACACTGGATATGGTAATCAAGTTTCTGGCCCACTTGGATATCCCTGGTTGAACGCCACCGCTGCTCTGCTGGCAAGTGAGGATGAAGACGACCAGGACATCTACGTCTCCTTCACCCACCGTGAGCTTCCACCCGTTGTTCTTGTCGCCATGGGTATTTTCAACAACTCCGCCCTGACAGGAGCCAATGCTGTAAACGCCACGATGCCTTTGGATCAAGTCAACCACCATCGTCAATGGATCAGCTCATACATCCTGCCTTTCTTGACAAACATTGCAGTCGAGAAGATGAACTGCTCGGAGTCGTATGGGTACCAGAACTCAACAGACCCCACATTCTACCGTGTTCTGGTCAACCAGAGCCCGCAGGTCCTCCCTGGGTGTTCTGATGGTCCGGCGGAGAGCTGCTCGGCAGAGCACTTCAACAAGTTTGTGGAGACCAGAGGAGAGATGTTTGGAAACTTTGCCGAGGCATGTGGAGTTGACTATGGTAACTCCACCGATGTTGTGAGCTTTTACATGAATGACACGATGAAGGGCGAGGCTGTAGGAAAGAAGAGGTAGATAATGTTGAGATGAAGGGAAGATTAATGGAAAAAGCATGAAAGTTCTGGTATGGAGCGCAAAGTAGATATTGCTAATGATACCCTTGTTCTTACGCCCATTCGGGTCCAAAAGGGCAAGACACAACCTGGCTGGGTCACTGTTCTGCTACTCGGGCTTCCTCCAGAACGCCTTCTTGATAATACTCGATTGCCCACAATGCTGGCAACCACTAGGCTTGATCATCCCTGGGAAGTCAGTCACTCGACGCGGAGCGCTGCTGGAGATCTCAATATGTACGAATACTGTTCACTGGCGTGATTTTATAGACTGCGGAAATCCTCACCGAGTGCTCTTTAGGCTGTTCTGGAAGCAAAACTTTTGGACCAGACTGACAGCTGTATGGTTGGTCAACGTAGGATTGCTCATACCGAAGGATTGATTCAGCGCACAATGACGTCCCTACGTCAAAGGCGGGGCGCTTGAGAGGTTGTATTCGAAGGTATTTGACTTGTGTCTTTGAGCCTGTTCTTTGAAATTGCCCGCCGGTACACTGGTGTTTGTTCCCATTCCCACCTCACTCGACCGATCCAGACGTGAGTGAGAAGCGCGGCCCAGGGCTTGACTACATTCCTTCACCATCAATTACTTGTACGCTGGGAACTGACGACGCTTAGCTCCACCTAATCGTGAATCGTCGAGTGCGATGACAGAAATTAGCGACCATGGAGAACGATGGCGCAAGCTCTACAATACAGATCCGACATCAGACATGGACTCATCAACATCTAAGCAGCTGGTCGTCGCGATTGACAAGATGATGCTGCAGAAAACTACCCCACAGGAAGCAGYCGAAATCGAATAGCCTTGATCGTCATGAGTGAGACAGAGCCTGAGAACCCATACCTACGAGCTTTGAGCATCTGCCAATATACCGCTCTTCATGTCGATGATGAGAGAGAGCATATCAAAGAGGATCGTCGACTTCATAATAGCGTTGGCGACTTTGCCTGATGCAATCAACTACTCCTCCCAGCCGAAGACGGCAACTACTCATCATCCGCATGTCACATCTGGAGTCCTCACTTTCCAGCCGGGTGAACCCGTTGTGTTTGAAGAAAATGGTGTTCTTTGGCGGGATCTTCCAAACTGGTCCATGATGATTACTGAAACACATCAAGGTCAGTGTTCTGGTTGATGATGTTCTTATTATACTGATCTTTGCTCATCACTGGCTGACTACCAACAGGACCGGAAACAATGGCTGATCAAGCATCGCGGGAAAGATAGATCCTGCGGCAGCAACGCAAAAATGGAAGAATTTCAATACTTATCTGGCTTTGTTCGCTACGAGTCCAACGGCTCGAGAAATTCCCGTACTTTCCAATCTTTCATGGCTGGGTCTTAAGACTCTGGCGGTCTCGCTTGAATCGTCGAGGGATGCTTGGAATTTTCATGCGGAGATGTGGATCCCTGCTGCTGTTCAATGGATGCGTATTTGCGGGTGAGGAGCTGCAACGATTGTGTGTGAGGGGGGGAGAAGACTTATCCTCCTGGCGAGTTGTGGGAGGCTGAAGGGGGGTGGAGAGGTTTGTGATTCTGGGAGGTTTGAATTTTGGAAGGGAAGACTTGCGGATCTAGGAGGTTGAAGTAGGGGAGGGAAGATTGGTCTCGATGAGAATCTTTTGGCGATGTCAGAAGCCTCTTGACGAAGCGATTTCTAACCACGGCAAAGAACAGCTGTACGAGCAGAATGAAAGAACAGGCCTTGGCATGATGAGTTTTCAATACATCTGACGATATCCAATCAGTCTACGGAAGAAGATGGCGCTTTCACTACAACTAAACCAGAGGCCCGGGTAGCAAGGGATACATTGGCCAACAAAGTATAGCTTTCCCCTCGAAAGAGCGAGAAATTGGAGCCATCGAAGCAGCCATAGGGGGCTTTGCTGAGGGTATGATTTGTGTCTATTCTTCCTTCATTGCACAAAAGACCTGTCGGGTTCGGGTAAAATTTCCAATGCCGCTCCCAAGACTTCTTTTCACGTATTGCATGAATGCAGCAAGCAAAGCAACGTGCTCTAGTTCAAGTCAGTAGGACCGCTATGGAACCAACCGCACGTGGCTTGGGAGTAACGCCATCAGCTACGAAGCGGTTGCGTAGATGCGACGCGGTGTCAAGCCGCCAGTATACTACTCTACTCTGCCACGCACTCAGACCTATCTGAACTGTGTTGAGAAGTCGCCCTGAAATTTCAGCCTCTTTCTACAGATCTCTGTTCGGAGCTAAGACTTCTGCGGTGTTTGAAATTCCGMCCTTATATTCGTGTCTCAGTCAGTGGCTGGAACAACAGATTGAGGATATTTCACTGCTCACCGTAGCGTGGGATCAAACTCCACTCCTGCATGGCCAGGAAAGATTTGAGACCGAAGAGACACTTGGCATGGAGGCTGCTGCGGAGCGTGAGACCTGTGCGCAGAATCCCACACGGGAACCACTCGCAGCCGTTAAAATAGTGTATCGATCGAGCCTCAGAGGCTTTGGAACATTCGTGCGCTCGTTATCGATGTATGYCGAGTAAAGCGACACAACACCAATAGAATGCTGTTCGCAGGGAAATTGTGTCTAAGAAAATGCTGAAATGATGACGGCAATCGGTCAATCGTCTCACTTGCTTGACACAGAATCTCACGGTCTACTATTCGAGGTATCTGGTCGGAATTCAACACACATAAGAACCACGACGAGCTGCTCCTCTTTTCAATTCTCCATCACAAACATCGAGCTCACAATAAAAGCCATCCATCACTCCACTCACCAAACAACATCCATTTTCAGCTTTGATAGCTACTACATACCTCCATCAGTCTACCAATCCACCTTCCAGCACCATGCCTTACGTGAAGTACAACCCTACGAAGATTTTCACACACGAGGAAAACTTGCTCAGAGTACAATATCCGTTCGTCTCGGTCAACACGTTGCGTCCGTAAGTACAATTTATGCGCTTCAGGCAGAAACAAGCAATACTAATAGAACTACTTATACAGTGGCGAAGGACTGAGAGAGCATCGCCATCACAGTAACAACACCCACTTGATCCTCCATGGGTCCCTCAGAATTGGCAGATCAGTAGGGGGCCAATTCATCGATCCCAATAACACCCATGCGCAAGGTGCTGGAGCGAGGATCGATATGCCACCAAACACCAGCTACATGGCAACCGAGAGCCATGGGTGCAGCTTCATCGAGGCCCATCAACTACTGAGCCCGACAACTACTGTGAGGTTCCTTCGAAATGGCACTTTTGTCTTGACGGACGAAGATGATCCGAATGAGAAATGGTATGTCCATTTGGACGAGGAGGAAACAAATGTCCCTTTGGACGAGGAGGAAACAAATGTCCATTTGGACGAGGAGGAAACAAATGTCCCTTTGGACGAGGAGGNGGAAACAAATGTCCATTTGGACGAGGAGGAAACAAATGTCCCTTTGGACGAGGAGGAAACAAATGTCCCTTTGGACGAGGAGGAAACAAATGTCCCTTTGGACGCGGAGGAAACAATTCGTATCAGGGATTGGTTGTACTTGTTGTTCTTGGCCATCATTTTATGGTACTTCTTTGATCCTGTTCGAGCTATGTTCGGCTGAGGTCATGACGCAGTGAACTGCAGTATGACAAGCTCCCTGCTTGGGGTTAGATTGCGACAACGGATTCGGGAAACTAGATAAGACGAGGGCTCGWGGGATGCGAGAAGATTTGGTATCCGGGATTTGTGGCTCAAGGAGAAAGCATTGGATAATGTAACAGGCGGTTGGCTGTGGAAGAATAAACGGGATTGGCGGGCTGTACTATATACATGGTCGTATATATATATCATTACTTCATTCAAACTCTTACCACCTAGTCATGATAACATAAGTCTAGGCTCCTTTTCACTGATCGATAAAGCAAAGGTTGTCTTGTGAGTGTTCACTTCTAGATACGAAATGTAGTCGTAATCTTCATAGAAAAAACACCTCAAACATCCCAAACATCGTCCACGGTGGATTTTCCGGAATGTAAAAGGCGCTTATTCCCATCAAAATACTTCAGAGACCAACGTCAAATGATGCACAGTCTTAGTGGCAGATGTTCTTGAGCTCGATGACTCTTCGATACTCTGGTGTGCTACGGAACTGTGCCCGTGTCTGTGATGCGAGACTATGTCTGAAGCTACTAAGGAGATATCGAGTAGTGGACGCGAGAAGTGAGACAACGATGCTAGATGTAAACCGGAGGAACAGGTGATGAAGGTGATGACAAGACATCCATCCCGATTCTATCGTATGTAGTATCAAAGTCTGACAGCCGATGTGTTCCTGCAAACTTCAGTCTTGCATAAGTACCAAGACAGCGTATTACCGGTTTTGTCATGTTCTGCTGCACGGGCATAATTTTGCCCCTGAAAGTGCGAGAAAAATGCAAGCTCCTTCCTGGCACCATGGCCAAGACTTGTGACTTCCAAATGTACCAGAGGTTTTTAAAAGTTTCAAATTTATCTAGAGATGCAATGAATCCCCACAGATAAGAGCAGACTTTTAAAGAATATCAGAAATGCAGCAAGCAGTAACGTGTAACACAGTCGGGCTACTTACGTCGACGGCGGGTAGAGTCTGATCGGAGATGAAGCGAAGCAATCAACAAAAGTAAAACCTATAACAGCTTGGATATCTGCCTCTAAACCCTCGATATCGGAACAGGAAGCCATGTTGATATGCCAGACTGTCATGATCGATTTGACCGACGTAGTACGTCTACAGTACCTTCAACATCCGATTCTTATGCATAGTATCAGCAATCCAGTGGCGAATGTATGCCAAGTGAACAGRGGCCTCTAGGAGCTCCAAATAGGAGACATGGTCTTCAAGGTGACTAACTTAGTCAATCAACATCATCTCAGCAATTGACCTACTCTAAGTCTCACACTACGATAATAGCACAGAGACCGCTAAGAACAAGCTAACGGGTGGCATCTACCACCGAAAAGTGAGACATAACGTACAGGTATTCAATCGCAGAGCAAATTCTCACACGGAGAACACTGTGTTTCGCCCTAAGAGGTCCCAAAGACCGTGCAAAATCGCAAGAAAAGGATGCGCGCCAAGATATGRGGCGCTTCCATCAATGCGATTTGGTCTTAAGACTCAAGGTACATGTGGAAGTGGCGGCGAGACATCCGTCTTAATCACATCGCAGGTTCAAGACTTGTCAGGAGAGGCATCCTCGGGGAGAATCTACCCACATAAGTATCACGGCCTGCATCCATCTCTCCTCTTGCATCCACAACCAACTTCCATTACACATGCAAAATACCACCCCTACCACCTCAACTCGCGGAACAGCAAAAGAACATCGTGAAATCTTTACCTCTGATCGACAACCATCCCACAATGCCCGTCGGGTACATATACGTACCTCTAACGGAGGACGAAAAGACAATGAGGGAATCCACAAAGTATCCTTTCGCCTCGACGACCAGATTAGATAGGTAAAGTGATCCCTAGTGTAGCAGGAAGTAAGCTAGTGCTGACGCGCCCCCGGACAGCGGAGAAGTTATCCCCGTTCATGTTCACCATAGCGACAACACTCACTGGATAACGGAAGGATCCGTTGAGATCACGACAACCAGGGACGGTGACGGCAACGAACTGCCAGCCGATTGGATACCGTACCATAGGCGTCAGTGGGCCCGGATGAGGAGGGGGATTCACTACACAGCCAGGGCTGGCCCAGAGGGCTGTGTCTTTGTCGAGAGCCATCGGATCCTCAGTCCTACCACAGCTGAAAGATTGTACAATMGCGGAAATCTCGTAGAAGCTGGACCTGAAGACGAGGAAGTACACATGTTTGAAGACCTGAGCATCGGGCACGACGTAACGCACGACGCTCCAGTGGCGGCGGCGGAGGAGGTGCAGGCTATGGATTGAGCGTTGTAACAACCCCTTGAGAGATCACACGGAGTCTACGTGTTGTAAAAGTAGAACGTTTTCTATCTGCAGTATGTCAAAGGCTCCGCTTTAGTCTCACATTCCTCCTCCCAAGAAACCATATCGCGAAGTATTGGAAAGATGAGTCGACAAAGCACGACCAACGTGGCTGTCAAGCGCGGAACTTTTCTGGCAGTCGTAGTACGAATTGCTCAAGAAAGTTGTCAAGAAATTTGAGAAGGTGACCTGATGTCGATCAGATCTTCGTATTGTGGCTTGGGGTGCTGGACACTAAAAGTAGGTCTTCAATTTTCTGGGGAACAAAAGGCTATCCGGCGGGAAGTGATCTTCATGGCAGCATCTTGACAAGGATTGTTTGACCGTCAAGCATGATCAATCTACGCATCTCCACTCATAAAGCTAGCACTGCTGTCACTGAAGGTGTATTCGAGGTTTCAAGTCGCTTCTTCGAGGACTCGTGCAACGATGATCGGACAGAATTCAATCTGTCTGAACGTCAATTCTCGTGCTAAGAGCCATGCTTGTCAGGAAAATTCTACTCGATGGGTGAAAGCTTCTATGAAGACATGATCGTCTTAAGCTCACCCTCCCATAGGCTTGGAATATCGGGCAGATTAGGTACATCGTCTCGGCCTTCTTTGACTTCGGACATGCAAACGGTCCTAATGGATGCCGAAGCCTGTATCAAAGTCTTCCCCACAACTATGAGAAGATCGTATTGGCGAAAGAAGTGTAGTCATGAACGATTCCGTTGGTTTGACTTGGCTTGGCTCAGGGGCTTCCAAAGATGAATCCCGACAGGGGCCAAGAAGTAGCTCCGATATCGCAGCAAAGGTATCAAAACCAGACATCAAACCTGAGCATCACCATCGACCTCTCGCAGATGTTGTAATGTCACAAGACATTCTATCTGAAAAGAGGTATACTTATCAAAATCCTCATCAAAATCCTTGGCGAGGCTCTGAAAGCGCGGCAACCGCCCGCTTTTGTACAAAAGACTTCACTACGACTCCGGTTGCCAATTTCTTTCAACAAGGCCATCGGACGACACCTTAAGTGGGGATAAGGCTCTTCACTAACAGAGTTCTGGAGCGAGTTGCACCATGGCTGCATAGAAGGGCCGTCCTAAGCTGTTGAACGCTTCGATGCTGGCACTTCCGGTGCTCTCTCCTGCTCTTTGCTCATCTACCAGGGGCTGCTATCTTTGGCCAGGCTTGAACCCAATCGATGTGAGTTGGTCCGGAGATCGAAATCGGATAGCCATGGAAATGCTCGTCTTCCAGGGCTCGCATCTTGTCAGCCAGAATAAACTTACTCAGGTGGTGGCCTCTCTCTCCATCCCCGAACCTTGGCCACATTACCCGACGGAGATTGACGCCGGTTCTCATTCACCGCTGGCCGCGACATGTGTATGTATTGTACGATACAAGACCCACTGACACACAGATTACACAAGAGCTTCTCATTTCAGTCTGACTTACATCCACTTCTTCCCCTACACTCTGCTCATATTCCTGCCAAAACCGCCAAGACATTCCATCACGTGCTCATCATGTTGAGGCTCAAGTGCGACTTGACTTCACTACATGCAATGGCATATGCCAAATTTCACTTCACATATACTCAGTCCGCTGCTGCCTACAAGCTAGCTTCACACTCTTCTCACTTCGCAATCGCAACTTTGCTTCAAAACAACATCCGCATCGCTCAACATGGTCGCTGTCAAAAGAGAAGGAGGTGGAGGCAACAAATCTAAAGGCGGAGGAGGAGGTGGTGGTGGTGGCGGCGCCAACAACAACAATCAGAAGAAGAACGGACCCACACATCCAGCGCTCTACTATTCCAACAAACGTATGATGAAGATTCTCCGCTGTGACGAGGCCGATTTGGAGGTGTTGAAACACGGCGCMGCGAAGATTGTGAAGCACAACCCACAGGTCAATCTTCGGGTTCTACGCTGGGAGCTTTCCGATCGGGAGCCGGAGTGGAAGGAGATGTTGAGCGGGGAGAGATGGGAAGGAGAGGAGTATCAAGGAGATGACTTGGACCCTGCGGGTTTTGAGAAAGACATTGCAAATGTCATCATCAAACTCAAGGCCCTTGCCAACAACAAGGTCACCGTGGAGAAGAAGAAAAAACGAGCCAAGAGAGGGGGTGCTCCAAGAGAAGGTGGAGGCGGTCGTCGTGGATATGGGGGTGATGGAGGTGGTCGTCGTCGTCAATATGGAGGTGGTGGAGGTGGAGACTCAGACACAGAAGGCGGCGGTGGAGGTGAAGGAGGCGGTAGAGGTAGAGGCGGCGGCAATGATGATGATGATGGTGGTGGCGGTGGAAATCCCGAGAACTACATGATGTCTGGGGGATTGAGGAGTGAGACTCCTTGCCYACGACCACGAAAGCCACCTCCGACGACGTTCAAAAAGCTGGATTGGCTACACAAGGACGCCGATCCTGAAGACGAAAGCTCACTTTTTGTGGGCAAGAATGAGGAGCAGGAAGAGCAGGACCTCTACCCGTCTTCTGCTGCAAATTTGAGACCTCAGCCAGACTTTCTTCGAGAATTCGCTACGGAGTCCACCCCAACGCCGGCAAGCCGCCGCAACCATCCCAATCGCATGCTACAAGACGAAGATACCAACACTGGCTTTGTTGGGGTCTTCGATGCGGCTCGTAGGAGACATGAATTTGGAGGGTATGAATGGCAGCAAGCCGGCCAAAGGTGGAACTAAGACGATCTGCATTGACCTCTGTTCCGACTCTGAATGATGACCTGGGGTATCAGGGGCTGCTAAATTCGGGCGGAAATTTGCAGTGGTTCCCCGAGGCGGTCTCGTCGAAAGTCGAGACTTGAGCTGGAGAAGAGATGGAAAGCTGGTCTTTTTCATGCTTTTCAAGTGGCATTGGTGTCACAGAGCTGTGATGCGAGTCTGTTCTTTACGGACGACCGAGAGGGTTCGGGCTGGAATAATGAGCAGCGACAGAGCGCCTATGCCGTGCTATGACACTCCACTCCACGAGTGTAACATAGCCGGTGCTTCAATCGAGATAGGAGGACGTAGGCATGCCGATACAGTCCCTGGGCTGAAAGAAGCAAACTGTCAATTATATCATCTTCAAAGTCCTTGCATGCTTACCACTCAATAGTGGAGTGCCGCCAAATCAGCCGCTAATAACGTGACGATTGTGTCGGTGATGGGAAGTGAATTGGCGCACGTGAGGAAGAAATGTCTTGGCTTTTGGATCGGGGCTGTGCTAGCCATGCATGCCATCGCTTCCCAAGTGCATGCATCATCACGCCGTACATATTGATTGCAGATCATCGCCATCAACTGCGCCACGGAGGAAGAAATGGGCGTTTCGATCTGTATTCCACTTACTTTCAAGTCTCCATCGTCCATCGAGACTGGCTCATTTGCTATGGCCGACCTTGTCCCGTTTTCCATAGAAGCAAAGAACGAACTCTCACAACATATTGAGCCATCAAGTTTGGTAGACCTCGAGTCAGCCATAAAGCGGAACGACAGACCAGCTAGCTCTTCACACGGCAAGCTTCCATAACGAGATTGTTGATRTACGCTCACTGACATCCGAACGTACCATCAGATTGCCYAGCGACTCTTCACAACATGCAGAACCAGTCTCTTACAAGTTCCACTAGATGGTATTCCCACTCATCCCGAGCTTCGAAAGTATATCAAGAACCTTCACATCCAGGACGAGTGCGACAAAGTCGATCCCATCGCTGGGGATGATGAAGACTGGGTGCAGTCCTCGTCTTACCTGTGGCCTCGCGCAACCGTAGAGGCGTCTCATATATGGCCTCGCGTCCAAACTTTTCTCGACACAACAGCCCTTGCTGCTGCTGGTGTTGCATGTCTACGAACGCTGCTCCTTCGGAAGGAAATTTGTCCCGAGGTTATTGAAATAGAGGATTACGCCATCAATCCCGGCAATATGGAATATCTTACTGAGGAGACGAGATTACGGTTTGCGGACTACAAGAGAGCCCCGCATGAACTCTTTGTGGACGAGCCAGTGGAGCGGCTTGCGAAGAGTATCGTCGACGGTGCGGATTTGGCAGTTCTTTCGGTTCGTGTGCAGAACGATTCGAAGTATGTATGCATCGGAAAGCGCAATGCGTCGCATGCAGGCCAATCAATGGAGCACCATCGCCAGTCCCCAAATCCACAGAATGACGATTGTTCTAGATGCTGCCGGTCAGGGGAAAGGTCGCGGTTCCTCTTTGATGCATTCTGCGGATCTCAGACAGCTCAAAGCTCATCCGTATGTATACATCGAGGAAAACTTGATGAGAGAAGATCAGGGTGGTCTGTCTTGTACGGGTCCTTGCTGACGTCCTACTTGCGGTCTACAGATACTGGCTACAGCAGGCTCTTCATCAGTCATCGAAACTGCAACATCTGGAAATGTACTCGGTCGATGGGTTATTGTTGAAGAGTGTCGTTCAGTCTAAASAGCCTTCCCCTATATACAAGCGGCTTGGGATGACATGGATGAGCGTAGAGACGAGCACACTCTTGGCTTTATTGAAGAACTCCAAATCGACGACGTTGAAGGAAATCGAACTCCGCTCTGTTACACTCCGAGAGGGATCTACATGGACGGATCTTCTTCCCAAACTTGCGGACGCCCTACCAGCATTGGAGAAGTTTCGTCTTTGGGTTCCGAGAGAAACGGTAAGGAGAGGACAAGGGGGTTCGGGGGTTATTACGTTTCTTGGGTTTCAGCATGAGATGGTCCCTGAGGAGTGTAGAACTGGATTGGAACTGCATCATAAAGGAGTCGTTGGGAATATCAGGCTCGATCGAATTCAGTATGAGGGACCGAAAGCTGGGATGGTGATGAAGGCTCTGGCGGGGCATGCGCATCTTCATGTTGATCCGTGAGGTGAAATTTTTTGTTGGTTAGATTGAGCGGAAAAGAAGGACCATGAATATCTCGTCGAGGAATACAGAGTGATCCGTCTTAATTAGCTTTCGATCGCATGTAGCTTTGTCGAATGACGATGCCTCTCGGCAATTCAGTGCCACCGGAGAGGAGGACCTTCGGTTTACATAAAAGACCAACGCGGGAGAGAAAGCATCCGAGCATCGCTAACACTCCTCATCATTAATGATACAGAGCATAATTTCCTCCCCTCCTCTTCTCCTCCCAATTCAACTCTCCCCACTCCACCGGTTCCCAAAACCCGACATCACACCCTTCATACATCCCCACCTCCATATCCATGCCCATCTCAGCACCCCAAATCCCCCCGGGCCCATGCCTCTAGAACTTTGCACCGCTTCTTCCGAACATGGGCGTCTCGATTACTCTCCCTGCTGAATTTCCTGGAGCAAAAGAGACATGCGACTTCTCCCACTCCGTCCCGTTCTCGAAGATGACGTCGGTAGTTTTCTCGACAGGAGAATTCCTTGCCGTCGCAGTTGTGGGCATAGCAGCGGATTGGGGTGGATTGTTCGGGGGAGGTGGACTTGGGGGAGAGATATGGAGAGGATGTGGAAGGGGAGGATGTTGAAGGTGTTGAGGGGGTTGAAGTTGTTTGGCTTTCTGCTCGAAATCGTTTAGGGGATCTCGGTTCGGAGGGTCCGAATGAGGTTTCGTGATTGCGTTTCATTGCGAAGATCGAACAGATCAAGGAGGGGAACGTAGTGCGAGTAGATTCTGCCCGAGTTGTAGGAGAGTCCTTTACTCATGTGTCTTTGGCAAGCCATGTCTCACCGCGAATATCATATACTCCAACGCGACATGATAACAAGCCTCGAATCCTTCAATGCCCTAGAAGCCACTAAGATCATGATGGGAGCTTAAACATCCGCGAGACAGTGCTGCTATGTTGTTGATGCTCTCGCCGTTGGTGTGGGGAGATGATAGCCCTTGTCTTGGCTTTGCATTCGGGAAGGCAATGGTAGGGATGTCCCCATCCTTCGTGGTRGAAAGGCAGGGAAATTCCGAGGGAGGATTCCGTGAACAACGAACTCGTGGGAATCCTTCCGAGATGGGCAAGCATCGAATAGAAGCTTAAGCATGCTTGTGCAGCACGTGGAAAGGTTCGAGCGTGTCGATCCGGAGGAGCCCTGGCCTTGGCATTGCCATCTATCAAGGTTTCCGTGGAGGGAGCTAAATTCGAAGTATATGCTGTGGGACATGTGTTGGTTGCAAACTTCGTACCGCAGGAGATTCACACATTTGCATCACAACTGGCCGAGGGAGATGTGCGTGCCTGCATTTTGACTTTGATCCTCCGCGCACATGGATGTGGATGTGAATGTGAAAAGTGATGGCACTTGGAAGTTGAAACGTGGGCAGCCACGCCATCAGGCCGTGGTGTAGTTTGAAGAACATTTCAACGGGAACAAGCAGCGATGAAGTTGGTATGAAAGTCGAAGGCWGTGGGCATAAACGAGAAAGGCTTTGCAGGTGACCAATCGTACAGTCCACCCGTGAAATGCATGTTGTCCGTCCCAGCTGCAAGGTATTCGACGGGCAGCAATAGAARTCCATTGTCCTCTGGCTTACCAATGATGATGAGCGACCAGTGATGATGGAGGATGTTAGCCGCCAAAGTGATGATCGGAATTAGCGTGAGGTTGGTGACTAACACGATTGACGTATGGCGGACTACCTATGATTTTGRGCACATCTGATCCGTGTGTTGAAGCGTGTGATGATCCAAAAGAACGTGAGAGATAAGGTGTAACCCTACATGCCACTAGTGGTGAAGGCGGATCATTTGGGAAGCTTGAACAGTGCCCTTGTCTTGGCATTCGACGATGGATCATGAAGTGGCCGTCGTGTTCTCTGGGGTGGATTTTTCCCTCTTCACCAAGAAACGAGTGATGCGATGATGGAAATGGCGGAATCCTTCAGGCTGGCTGACTCGATGGAAGCCGCTTGGAGGGTGAAGCGGGGGAGGAGAAGGAATCTCTTGAATCATGCATCTCTGAGGTGGTGAAGGAGCTCCAGTGACGTTGCAAGAAGTGTGCTGAGAAGTGACACAGGTGGAAAGATGCCCATGAGGAGACATGTGTTGGTGGAGAGGGGGAGAATGGATGAATGGCGAAGATGGAAGTGACGATGAAAGTGAAGGTGGATGTGTTTTGGTGCGGATTTGAACGCGAGTGAATCAAATATTGACTGAATTCAATCAATTTGGATCTACAAGATCAAGGGCACCTCATCGCTCGGCGCATCACCCGCCAACACCATGTCGGCGACACGCGCATCGGCCAAGTACAGCAAAAAGGATGGTCACCTCACCATCTCCGACGACACGAAACATGTCTTCTGGACGCCGAGCGAACCCGTGGGCGCCTCTCCCGCCGTGACGATTGCCGTGGCCGACATCACCAACCTGCAGCAAACCCCAGCGACGTCCAAGTCGATTGCGTTGAAGGTCGTGGTGACGGATGGCAGCCATGTCTTTACCTTCTCCGACAAGCAAAATGCGCGACAGGAGCAAGAGAGGGTGACGGAGACGTTGCGCAATGTGATTACGGCCAACAAAGCGCAGGCCACGGCGCAACACCTGGCAAAAAGCACCCCGACGACGACGACGACGGCGGCGGCGAAGAATGCATCCTCCCAGGCCGCTGCTGCACCCGCCGCCTCCTCCATTCCCACGACCAAGGCGGCGGAGGAGGAAGGATGGTATGATGACAACCAGCTCAAGTCTGACGACAAACTGCAACGATCGCTGCTCGAGTCGAACAAGGGCCTGTCGGAGCGCTTCAACCAATCCCTCAAGGACAAACCGCCCACCCTCTCCTTCCTCCAGCTCACCCGCCAATTCTGGTCGTCGCGCCTCCACCTCCTCCGCGCGCATGCCATCGAAACGGCCCAAAAGCAGGGCGAATACAATGTTCTGCCCGAAATCAAATTCATCCACAAACCCGCCGAGAAGGAGGGCGAGCCGGGCATTAAACAGCTGCAAATCACCAAGGAGCAGATCAAACTCATCTTCAAGCAGTATCCCGTCGTGCTGGAAGCCTACAATGCATGCTGTCCGCCTCTCTCCGCCGGCCAATTCTGGGAAAAGTTCTTCGCCAGTCGCTTGTTGAAGAAGTTGAAGGGCGAGAAGATTCGAGACACAGATCCCCGAGACTCCCTTCTGGATAAATATCTCGATCGAACGGAGCGTACTGGCCCGGCTTCCATTGGACATGTCCCACATTTCATCGATCTCGAGGGAAATGAGCAGAATCACTCGCAAAAGCTGGGCAATCGTCCTGATCAAGACATGCGGCCGAACAAGGTGCCCATCCTGACCGTCTTGAACAATCTTTCCGAGAAGATGTTGAGTCATGTGGCGCCCGAGGATGGAGAGGCGCATGGTCCCATTGGCATGGACGAGGAAACATTTGATCAATTGCGCCTGAGAGACTTGGCCATGGAAGATGTGGACAATCGCGTCGTGTTGAATGTGAAGGAGCAGCAACGATATGTGGGAGGGAACCAAGACGATCTCTCCGCCGATGCAAAACGCTACGCACTGCAGGATCCGACACAAGTCTTGACATCCATCAACGCCCATCTGCAACCCTCACATTTCGGCGCAGATGAGCGTGGTGCGTTCCGTTTGGATCAAGTGCTTGGATTCCAGGCGGAAGAAGATGACGACGATGATGATGAAGGAAGTCATAAACAGCCTACAATCGGCTCGCACGCAGCGATCAAGTCTACTACCGACAACCTCCTCTCTGCAATCAACACTCGCCGTCAAGCTGCTGCTTCAGACCCCACCCACCTTCGCGGCCTCTCCCAATCCACCTTTGACACGCTGCAAATCACCCACAACACCACCACCGAATTCCTGCATTACTTCTGGACCCTCTTCCTCTCCGGTGATGCTCGCAAGACCGACGAGCTGGAACATCTCGTCTCCACCCTCGATCGCTCTCTCGACAGAATCAACGCCGTCGCGGATGTTGCCGAAAAGGAGTATCAAGTCAAGGTGGATGGCTACACGGAACGGGCCCAGGCGGCGGCGCAGCGGAGTGGCAAGAAGTTCAAGTTGGGCAATGTCGATCGTTACGTTGGAGGTGGGGGGAGAAAGGTCGTGGATGCAATGGTCCGTCCGACCGTCGTGGCATTGGGCGAGGCGACGGGCAAGTATCGCAAGGTGTTGGAGGAGCAGACGAGAGAGGCCGCTGCTGCTGGAGCATAAGAGGCTTTCCAGGCGGGGAGTATTGTACGATGAGGGCATGTAGGATATCATGTGAATCGACGACGTTGATGACGTTTGCCAGGCCTCGATTTCCTTCTACGCCGCACACCTGATCTTCTTTAGCGTAACAAGGTCCTTGCGCGTGGGATGCAGGGTACGCTTCGTTGATCGAGGAAGGGCCATGGTCGAAGGTTTCCTCGTGTCTTGGAGTCAACGTGGATGATCCTGGTGCCATCAAAAAGATCTACCAATGTTCTGAAACTCGGATGCCTTACTCGTTGTTGGAGATGCCCCTAGGATGGCCTTCTAGAACGATGTCGCTTGCTTGACAGTCTCGAGCTACGTTGCACGTGGAAAAAAAGGGCAGAAGGTTGCTCAGAGATCCGGATTAAGAGTAGGAGTGCTGGCGTCTAAATTTGTTGACTACAGCTAAGATAGGGAGTCGTCGTTTCACGTGTTCATACACCCGCATGGTCTGACCTACGCAAGAGACCCGTCGAATTCTGCTCTCTGTCTTTCCCCCCCTGCCATCGATCCTCTACCATAGAGAAGGTCCCTGTGCAAGTCTGTCTAGCCTACGCCTCCAAAACTGTAATCTCGCCATATCCACGACATCGGTATTATCAGTCCCAACCCAAAGATCCCCGACGGGATAGTGCTCCGTTGCTGCCTCGCAAAGTTGCTCAATCTCTGGTCCTGCGAGGGAAAGCCATTGTGCCGCGGCTGGCACGCCTAGATTGGCTTCATAAGGTATGCTAGAAGAGTGTTCGAGAGCCGTTGCTAATGTCCAGATTCCTCGCTTGATGCGCCCGGCGAGGGGAGGATGGAGCTGGGCTTCGGGACTTTGGCCGAGGAGTATCACGTAGGTGTTCATGTTCTTCCATAAGAGGGCGGACTTCTCGGGTGACTTTCCACGTGCACGATGGGACATGGGGGCCTGGGACGATGCTTGTGAGAATATGTTTCAGGATGATGGATACGATGGACTTGTTTTACCTTGGAAACGCTCGCTAAGTTCCATTGCAAAGTCGGGCAGGTCCTTCCAAAAGGTTCGGTTTGCAAACTTCATGATCCCTCCCGGCTGGACATGTGCCATTTGGCCTCCCCCAATGTCCATGATTTTGTCTTTATTACTCGAGTTGATTGCGTCGGGAAGACTGGCCAACGCTACGATGAAGTCGACTAGTCGTTGGGAGATGGTTGGATTGGGGGATTCCTCGACTGCGTTATAGAATATGTCGATGAAGTTGTGCCAGTAGCTGATATTTTGCTCGGACATGATGATGGAGGCGATGGTTGAGGCGGATTCTTGGGGGGTTCCTTTCTTCTGAAAGCATGGCGCTGAATGTGTGGAGTAGGCGGGAGTGGATGGAGTCGGGGGGATGGAGATGGGAATTGTCGTCGTTGGTTTGGTTGTATATTTGGGATGGCCATTTTTCTTGTTCCTGGATGTAATCATTGATGTTGGAGGCGCTTGGCTCGGTGGTCATGGTGAAGTCGGAGTTGGATCTTGAGAAATTGTGTGAGTGGGACGGTTTGAGAATGTTTGGTAAATGGTGGAAAGGATGGGAGTCCATGTTTGGCTTGTCATTGACCGGTGTACCTTTCTAATCACCGCTGGAGCTGCTGCGTCGTACTAAACTCCTTCGGACTCATCCTTCTCGTTGATTGGAATGGAAAGACACGATTAGGCTGTTAGTAAGTTGTCRACATAGAATGACCGTGTGGTATGGGATCAAGGTCTGAACCTGGTTGTTCCTCCTTAGGGTCTGATGTAGCTTGAAGTGTACGACAGTGCYATGCTCGCAAGTCCTAGGTCGCTTGACGATGGTTTCAGGTATGAATAATGCCGGAGTCAGAAGAGGACAACCTGGCTGTTTGATGATGAATCCTGTTTGGCTAGAATTCCGCGTGGCTTAGGCTTTCTTGTCATCGAGGAGCACGGCTGTCGGGACCATACAGCACCTCAACGAGGGATGGAACATACATTGCGAGGTATGCTGGTGTAATTCTCAGTTCCYGTACAGCTCTTTGAGGAGGTCTGTTTGGTCTGGCATTCTCGCAACAGCGAACGAACGATGCACTACTTTAGAACATGGTCTCGATCGAGAGCATTCAATGACCATCGACATGAGAGGGTAAGAGAGCAAGAGACGTGAGTCATAGTGTCACAGCGGGAAGATAATGCCTTCAATTCATGGAAGGATTTTCAACGAGAGTATGTTCCCAAGTACACCGATWCCATAGGAAGTTCGCCCAGGCCCTTCTTGAAGTCTTGACCGTGGTGCTGGTTAATTCCATCGATGGATGCTTTAGTAATGGCACTCGCAGCCTCCATTGATGCTTCAGGAACGACAAGTCAGCCTGACGTTACGTCTGGAAGTCATCGATCGGAAGGAATCTCACCATGTACCGCCATTTTTACCTTGTTGATAGCAATCATTGTTGCAGCCGCCGGGGTTGCAACCATAAGCCTGGTGAAAAATCAGCGACTGTGATCAAGGGAAGGGAGATGATGTGCATGATGTGGGCGTCCTTACTACGACTGAGGAGCCCATGAGGAGGACACAGACGGTCGTGAAAAAGGCAGTGAGGTTCATGTTGAGTGTTGGATGTTTCTTCTTTGTGTGGGGATGGAACGAGTTGGATACGGATTGGAAGGTGATGAACTGGTGACTTTATATGTCTTTTGTCTAGAAGTAGCGTGTCAATGCCTTGCGTAGAGTCCTAGACGGATGTAAGACGCGGGCCGAGTTTCAAGTACGACTCATGCCGCTCGGTTACGACCTATTTGTTTCGGGGAGGGAGTTTTTTTCGGGGAGGGGATATTTTTCGGGGAGGGAGTATCTTTCGGGGAGGGATAAAAATGTTCGTATAAGAGCCATGTTCGTACTTTCGTCGTCGTCTCATTTTCGTCGCCGTCGTTTCATTTCGTCGTCGGCGTCGTCTCATTCCGTCGTCGTCGTCGCATTTTCTTCGCCGTCTCATTTGTATCGTCGTCTTCGTTTCATTCCTATCGTCGTCGTCGTCTCGTCGTCGTCGTCTTCTTAGGGAGACGGTTAAATTCTATCGCCCTTAGGTATAGAAGGGGTTTAGCGCGGAGTTACGTCTACGATCCCTTCTAGAGTATATATTCGGGTCTCGGGTTAGGCCTTATACATCGGAATTATATAGATTTTCTCGCCCTACCCTTTTAGGTATATAATTCCCTTTCGATTTTATATCTTACTAAGTCTAGGGCTCGTATATTACGTAAGTAGTTTAATTTAAAAGTCGTCGTCTTCGTAAGGCTAGCGTCGCGTTTACTAAGAGCGTTATAGTTCCCGCTAAGAGTATTATAATTTAACTTTCTTCCTTAAGGACTATTATAATAGCGCCGTATCGTACCTTATAAATATACTATCTATAGGCCTATTATAAGCTCGTACGCGAGTAAATTAATCTAAAAACCTTATAAGGTTTTTAGTCCCCTCGAATATTATATCTATATTAATTACGCCCGTAAAAATAAGGTAGAGAGCGTTATAGTTCCTACTAAGAGCGTTATAATTCGACTCTCTTCCTTAAGGACTACCGCGATAGTACTATATCGTATCTTATAAATATACTATCTATAGGCCTATTATAAGCTCGTACGCGAGTAAATTAATCTAAAAACCCTATAAGGTTTTAAGTCCCCTCGAATATTATATCTACGTTAATTATACTCGTAAAGATAAGGCGGAGAACGTTATAATTCGACTATTCGAGTAATATATATAATAACCTAAGGTAGGAGGTATTTATTATATACTCTTCTTATATCTTCTACTATTATCTACGTATATACTCTACTTATAGCGTAGGACGGTAGAAGCTAGGTTAGTCCGAGTAAAATAGAAAACCCGTTTTACTAGGAGAACTACTCGACCGATTTCGAAGAAAAGTAGCTTAAATTTACGAGAAACGCGTAAAGAATCTCTAAAAACTATAGGTATAACTAGATTCGTTAATCGAAGAGTACCTCTCTAGTATATCGAAGTCCGAAGAAGCTCTTCTAAGTTTTCTCTTACTCGTACGAGTCTCTATCGACCTTTAGGTAGTTTTTCTATTCTTCTTCGATATAAAAGACTATAAAAAAACTATAGGAACCTTAATAGAAACTCTAGTACTTAAGAGAAAACCTACGTTATAAGAAAATTTCCCGCGATAGAGCCGATATTATCGTACCTATCGGCTCTATTAACTATAACCTCCTATCGGCGCTATCGTAGGTACCTATTATATTATCGCTTACTATTGCCGTACGTATATTTTCTACGTCTATCGCTATATACCGCTAGTCTTACGCGCTATTAGCTATTAGTAAACTAGGTCTATATACTTTACTTATAAAGCCTAAGTTATTAGATAACTCGATACCCTTCGCTATCTACGCGTACGATATATTTATCGCTATATATAGTAATTACCTTTATCGAAAGAGTAGTAACTCTACCCTCGATAATAGCCGTAGCGTAATTCTATATAGCTACGTCTATTATACCGAAGCGAAATACCCTACTAAGCGAGTTACTCTTATACCGAGCCGACTCGTTTAACGACTTACTCTACCTAGCCGATCCGCCTATATATTAAACTCCTTAAATATAATAATAGCTCGAACGCTTAACACCTCCGCGGAGTAGCTTAGTATAGATATAGGGCCTATAAAAAGTAGCTTCTATTCGAACTTTATATAGACTATCGAATCTTCTTTACTCTTTTTTACGCTACTACTAAGTATCTACGTTAATCGATCGCCTACCTATAATCTACTATTAGGATTAGGTTAATCCTAATAGCGGCCTTATATAAACAAAGTTAGGGTTGCGACCCTAAAGGGGTTAATCCTAATAGGTTAATCCTAATAGGTTCCCTTTATCGTATATTTCTAACGTTTGAATAGCTTCGAGTATATCGTAGAATTATAAATCCGCGAAGTATCTAAGTCTATCCGAGCGCTACCTCGTCGTCGGCGACGGATTATAGAAGCGGTAGGAAGAAAGTAAT